ATCACATTAGCCATCAACATAATGTACTTACAGCGAGTTTTGCACTGAGTCATCCTCTTGATATCAAATGAGCTTGGAGGAATTAGGTTATATCACCAGTGATAAATAACCTAGATCAGGTAGTGAAATGGATCCACTAACATCTAACTCAATTCATGTCTAAAGTAATTTGAATATTTTTCATTTTAGAGATATTCATAATTATGTGATACATTCTATGGGTTTTCCAACGTCCTTTGGTAATATTATATTATAGATGAGAGAAATATGTATTTTCAATAGATAGACAAAACAAAACTGGACAACCTAAATGAAACTGAATCTAGTGTAATTTATGATAAAACTTTCAGCACATTCATGACTAAAATGCAGACTTCTACCCAAAAATGCTTAACTTATGGGTAATTTAATTTCATGAAGAAATTGTAATGGTAATAGCATATTTAAATACCTTTATAGGGTATAATATTCCTCAAGTCCAGTAACAAGTAGATTTTTTTCTTCTGAGAATATTTTTGTTATCAAAACATATATATAACATATATAATATTACTGATTTTATTACTGGCACTGGGAAATGATTAAAATAGTATTTATATTCACATTTGGTTTTATTTTGTACTATGAAGTAAATTTTTGATTAAAGAAAATCATCCTGAATGGAGACAAAGTTTTTAAAAAATATTCAGATTTGCTTAGAACAAAAGCACTGTTTGGTCGTCATTAAAAATACAGTGAGAGAAGAGTATCAAATATTCCAATATTTTTTGACAGCCAAATTTAAAGGGGTTATTTCAGTTAATTTAGGTAGCTACCCTAAGAGGTAGTTCCTATTATTTCACCACCTTTTTATAGCATGATTAAGTAATAACAATTGTGAGATGAGGGTGGATTCTTACTCAGGCACTCACATTCCAGAGCCCATGTTATAGGCACTCAATCAGGTACGTGATGCAAAATTTTTAATGTTGGTCATGTATACCCCTGGGGTGTGCACAAAAACTTAAGGATGAAAGAATTTCAAGATGATCAGTGACTAGGTTTTAATTTCCTATGTATTTCTTAGCATCTTTTCTGACTTGGCCTTGCATTTTAAAACTTCTCCCACTTATGGGGCCACCCTGGAAGAGCAGGCAGTTGAGCGCAGGGCTGTGAAGCTGTCAGCAGCCTCTACAGTGCCGGTTCTATCCCTGCTGGCCTCCGAGCAACCCACATGACAAGCAGACCTCTCCTGTCTCACCTACTGCTCCCCTCAGCAGTGTATTTCAGTCAGTCTGCCTGTTCTGTTCCCCGCTCAATGTCTGGTGAATCCTCTCATCCTCCTGCGCATCTGACCTAGTCCCTAGTTCTTGCATAAATAAAAAATAAATCTTAAAAACAAACAAACAAAAACACTTCTCTCACTTTACCCAAGAAATGCACAACTCTCACCTCTCCAAATCATACTCTGCTGCATTTGTAAGGGAAAAAAAACCTTGAATGCTAAATAAAAGGACAATTCAACATATTTGAGGAGAAGCCTCCTTTAGACCACCATAAACCATTCTTGAGGTTTCCTGTCTTTCTCTGTCTTGGACAGATAAACTTATTTTAGGTTTAGGTCTTTGAAAAGGAAGATTATTGAGGGGAGTAGATGTATTAAATCAGATATATTGTGGGCCTCCCCGGTGGCGCAGAGGTTGTGCGCTGGGTTGTGAGGCTGCCTGCAGCCTCTGCAGCGCAGGTTCGATCCCTGGCCACCGAGCGAGGGTCCCACATGGCGCGCAGACCTCTCCTGCCGCCCGCTGCTCCCCTCAGCAGTGTATTTTGTCGGTCTGCCTGTTCTGTTCCCCGCTCTGGCTCTGGTGAAATCTCTCACCCTCCTGTGCTTCTGACTGTACCCAGTGCTTATATAAATAAATAAATAAATCTTTAAAACAAATATTTTTAAAAAAAAATCAGGTATATTGTGGGGGGTGTGAATAATGATAATTTTCATTTAAAGTCTTCAGTAATTTCATTTAAAGTCTTCAGTATCTTCAGTACGTACTTCTGAATTCTTCAGTATTGTTACAGAACGCATTACCTTTTAAGAAGAATCTAGTAACAACAAAAGACAGGGATAATAACTTGGAAGTTAAAGGATTAGCTGCTGGTCTGTAGCCAACAGTTAATATCCTGAGATACCATCATGGAAAAGACCAAGTCAATCTCCTTGCGAACATGCTAACTGGACTAAGGTATATACTAGTGGAAAGATAACAGAGAGTCCTTGTCTATGAAATGCTTTACCTGATCTGTGCAGATAGTTTAAGGTAGATGAACCTGAAATACAATAGCCAATTGGACAAAATCAGTGTCCCTCATATAATTATTTCAGTGTAAAGTGGAGATAGTTCATGACTGAAGTAATTCCTCTTGTGTAAGTGACACCTAGCATACTTTAATTAGTAACCTCAAATGCTAGATCTGGGCCAGCATGTGTTATAAGGTGGCATGGGAGACCCTGGGGAGCTGGGATATTTCAGACATCTCCAGTATTTTCTTGTGTCTTATAGTCACCTGTAATTTTTTTTAATTATTAGTAAAGTTTAATACTGGATAAACATTCTAATTCTTGTTAATCTGCTTTGAATGTATGATTCTTTCTTTTATCTCAGTAACATATACCAAATGTTGAAAATGGATTTTTATGTTTTTAGATGTAATTATTTTGTGCTATTCTGAAGTACCACTTCAGCAGATCCTGACTGTATAAGTGCTTAATGTTTTTACCATTTGTACAGCATTCTTCAAGGAAATAAAAAATTGGGACCTCCCTCGTGGAGCAAGGGGTTAAGCATTAGCACTGTGAAGAAATTGTCAGGCACCGCAGCAGGAGTTCCTTCCCTGGGGCCAGGGAGGTAACTCACAGGGCTCAGCCGACCTCTTCTGTCTTGCCTGCTGCTCCCCTCTGCAGGCAGCTGCTCCCCTACCTGCGCCCCCTCTGGCCTATACTACACCCCAGTTCTTGTATGCATAAATAAATAAATCTTTAAAAAAGATTAGCAACAAATGAATTAAAAACATTAGCAACAAATGAATATTTTGAATCTAAAATAAATAAAATTGCTAATTTTAAAAAGCTGAAGAATACTAAAGACATAACAAAGACCAGAAAAAACATAAATTTTTAATTAACTAGGTGATTGCTATATCCCTTTTCTTCTTAATTTTCTTGGCTCTGTACTCTGATTTCATGTGAAATGATTTTTACAATATACCCCATAGAGACAACAGAGAGAATTCAATTTTCCCTCTGCTTGATTTATCAAGATTCATTTTGAAAATTATCATATAAAAAGTTTATTTCTTCTTCATAATTTAATATCAATGTTATATAAATTTTTATGATTATTGTCAAGATTATATGAACCACTAATATTGGTTCTGACTAGGCATTGATGAGAACCATTATTTGCTTATACTTTTACAAATCTGATGACTGGAATAATGTTCTGAAGATTAGTTTCTGGTTCCCTATATTTCAAACTTCTACCCACGTTTCACTTTTACTCATACTTCCAGGGCTATGCACTGTAGGATACATTTATAAGGCAATATGACCCTTGACTGGCATCTTTATGTTAGGTAAGTGCTAGATTAGCCAGTAGAGAAATATTCCTGGAAGTAATGCTACACCTCTATAGCTATCAATAACCTAACCATACACACAAGCAATTATAAACATATCTCATAAAAAAAAATGTACATCCAACTCAACTTCTCTTTATGCTGAGCCTTAAAATGCCACAACTATTACAACATCAAGGACAGGAGGGGAAGTCAAGGAGAGTCAGTCTTCTTAACAGATTATGGCTAAAATCTTTCTCTGAAGTTTAGTAAAAGAAATATGTGAGCTCATCTGAAGGGCTGTCTTGGAAAGAGCCTGAGCAAATAAGGGGCCCTAATCGCTAACCAAGTAAAACATTGAAGATTTTAAATATAATGGTACTATTTAATGACCAAATAAACCAAATTATATTGGATAAAACAAATGAAAATTAAAACATGACTTTAGATTTGTTTACACTTTTAATAAAGCAATTAAAATCTAGTTTATAAAGAGCTCCACTTTTGCTGTGAGGAGCTCTGCAGACTATTCTCCAGAAAAACTGATGTACATTATTTTTTTAAAAAAACCACTTAAAAGTTTGGAGCAAATAGAACATGAAATAAAATTATTCAAGAACATCTAAACCACTCTATTGTGTACTACCTTATTAGGTTTTTCCTCTGTGGCTATTTGGTCCCTTTCTGAGATTAGAGAACATTACCAAAGAGCTTCTAACTTCAAATTTAAAAGCCTCCCACTGTAGTTATTCAACAGTTGTCATCATTAATTAAATTCTGATTGGGGGAGTAAAAATTCATCTGGAATTAAATTGCTACCATCTTTGACAAGCTGTTAAAGGAAAATCACACAGCTAATTGTACATGCTCAGGGGACTACATATATATGTATATATGTATACATGTGTATGCATATAATTTTTGCAAGGTAAGCCTATTTTTAAGAGTATAAAATCTGCCATCTATAGTATTCTACTGATTTTAAAGAACTTTTGAACAATGGTAAAATATATTCACTTTATTTTCTCTTTTTAGTTTTCCATAACCATGAATGGTCTTGGCACAGCTGCTAATTGTCTTCTGGAATCAGGGATTTAGTTTCTCTCTCTCTCTTTTTTTTTTTTTTGGTTAACTGCATTGCTAAAGACTTTCAGCGCACACACACTACTGAGCCTTCTCCCACGTAGCCTACGTGGGTTTTTCGAAGTACCTATTCTTCTTCTGGATTATTAGTCACAAAGGTCAGCTTCCCGAGTTGAATCGGCCTTTGTTCTCCCACGCGCCCGGCGCCAGGGTTCCCTCTAGCTGTCACAGCTCTCACTGTCCAGCACTATTTCCCAAGTCCCTCCAGCTGCCTCCTTCCAGCTGCCTCCGTCCAGATTGCGCAAGCGCCGCGGCAGCCGACGTGGCCGCCGGAGACCTTGGCCAGGGGTGGGCGCCGAGGCGCCAGTCCGCGCCGCTCTCGAGGCCCAGTGCGCGCGTTCCTGATCTCCCCGGAGAGTCTGACTCCGGGCTTCGAAGCGAACTGCCGCCTCCCCGGACACCACTTCGCAGGTCAGAGTGTCCAGAGTGTAGGCCGCGCCGGCAGCTGACGAGCCCGTGGGGAAGGGGCCGCGCGGCGTCACGTGAGCGCAGCTGTTCGGCGGCCGCGCGCCGTGGGTGTGACGGGCGGGGCTGGCGCGGCCGCGTGACGTGGCGCGCGGTCGGGGCCGCTTTGTGAGTCCCGGCGTGCGGGGCGCCGAGAAGCTCGGGGCCGGTCGGGGTTGAGCTTCTCCCTGGCGCTGGGTCGGAAGGAGCGGGCCCCTGGCTGCAGGGACCGGTCGGGGAGCTCCCCGGGCGGCGCCACAGCGCCTGAGGTCTGGAAGGACAGGTGGGGCTCGGCCGCGGGTGGGGAGGGAGGCGCCCTGCGGGGGTCCCCAAGCGGGGCCGGCGGTGGCTGGAGCGTCCCGGACCCCGCGTACTTGGGGCGGGGGTGGGTGGGGAGGAGCCCTTCAGGCCTGGGTCTTTCATCCAGGTCTGGGCGGTGAGACTTTGATTGAAGGGAGCAAGTTCGAGAGGGACTAGTTTGGGAAGTTGTTATTAGCTAACTCCCACGCCATATTTCTGTAACTTCGAGGCCCCGGCGCCCCCTCGCCTCTAGTTACTGTGGGGCTGGAGGACGCGGCGCACCCCGCGACCCCAGGAACGGCGCCCTGCGGGAGCGTCTCCCGCGCCGCCTCTCGCGGCCCCCCCCCCCCCCGCTGTTTGCGCTGGGCTGGAAAATCGCGCAGCTTTTTCTCCCTCACCTGCGCGGTTTTTTGAAAGTGCGGTAAATTTTCTTTTCAAAAAGGTCAGCAAGTCACAGCAATTATGTTGGGAGTGGCTCGCGCGCGATTTGACTCTTTCAAGTTCGTTTGTTGCTGTTTACTCGGTTTCTTTGGGTTTGAGCACCACGGAGGATTCCTCCGACCTCATTTCTGCGACTGGAAAGAGTTTGTTTTGGAAGGTGCAGTTTCGCGACAAGGCATTATTGCGTTACAGGGGTTGGCCCAGTTGTTTGTTCTAAGTGTACTAAGTTGTTTTACTGCATCTCCTGAGGTTCCTCGAAATTTGCTTTATATTGTATTGAAATTTAATGAACTCGCCCTCTAGATCTTTGTTGCCGCTGAAATATGGCATTAAGTAATTAAAGAATTAAAGTTTTACCTTTAAATTTCCGAAAGCAAAACGAACAAGGTGACTTAGTAGAATGGGAAGCTTTTCTCTCACCTGGTCTTCTCTCAGCTGTGGGGCTTTCTGAAATGTATATATATAGGTCTAGTAAGGCAGAACAGTGTGGGATTCTACCACGGGGAGTTGCATAGTCACTTGGAAAGTTGTGTGTGTGTGTGTGTGTGTGTGTGTGTGTTTTTGTAAAGTGCCATATAGGCTAACAGTGGAGCAACTTCTGCTCGTTCTAGGGAGAGAAATGCTGTAGTAAGCACGGTTGTTTATGCTGTTTATGGGATTGAGCCAAGCGTTTGGCTCAGAAATTTGCCTTTTGTTTCTGAGTATTTTTTAAAGAGTGAGCATGCCCTGCCTCCCTTCTCTCCACACCTTGCCCTAGGCCCCCCCCCCGCCCCCCCCCCCCCCCCCCCCCCCGCTTAAAACAAAAAATATATTTTACTTCTTTTACTAGAACGTTTAGGAAACAACTTCAATGCACCTTTGGTATCTGCACTAGTTTTGGTTTGTAATTTAGAACGATTATACTTGTGTAGATTCTGGTTTTTAAATCAGATCGACACTTAAAAGACTTAATCAACTTTAAAAATTAAAGTATGTGATTTCATGTAATAATTTTTTTTTATCTTTTCAAAAGACGCCTGGTAAATATGTAATTGTGCCTAGGGGTTTGATAGTGTTTGTTTTTTTTTTAATTCACCGTTCTGTAGTCCCTATTCCTGTGAAGCACTCCATAATTTATGGAGAAATATAGCAAATCCAGAATAAATCATAAAATAAAAATATAATATTTTAATAGGAACTTATTTCTTTCTGTGCTGAGATGACTGACTACATACCACTGGCTTAACATCTAGTCTCTTCTGCTAAACATTTTTTTAAAAAATGTTCATGCCCAGCAAGGAAGGCAGTTCAGCTGCAGTGCACACCCTCTCCCCTTCCCTTTCCATTTCTGTTTTTTCCAGTGACACATTGTTTAGGAAATACGGCTACACACCAAGTAAAAAAGAGCTTTGAAATTAAAGTAAACAAAGGTAATATTGCTTCTATCTAGAGTTCTTTCATCATGCTGTCCTTCAAATGGTATTTATTCTTTAAGAATAGATTCTTATCTATTCTTTAAGAATCTATTCTTTTTTTAAAACAAAAATCTTCCAACTGTAAAACTACAAGCACCTTATCCCTTCCTCGAACTCTTAACTTGTAAGCATGGTAAGAATTTTAGCTTTGGAATCAGACATTTAATTTCATTTTCTTCACAAATATCTGTTGAGCCTTATTCTTTTTTTGAATCCTTATATTTATTTACAATCTCTGTCTTGGCCAAGATGCTTAATATTTCTAAAACAGTCTCTGCATCAGATATTAAACTGCAAGTATGTGAGAATTAAATGGACGCCAGAACAATGCCAAATATATTCAAAGAATCTGATGATAAACAGTAATTGATGGGGCCTCCCCTGGTGGCGCTATGCTGTGAAGCTGCCCGCAGTCTCTGCAGCACGGGGTCAATCCCGGCTGGCTGACTGGCGAGAGTCCCACATGGAGTGGCAGACCTCTCCTGTCTAGCCTGCTGCTCCCCTCAGCAGTGTATTTCAGTCAGTCTGCCTGTTCTGCTCCCCACTCTGTCTCTGGTGAATTCTCTCACCCTCCCGCACATCTGGCCTGAACCCCAGCTCTTGTATAAATAAATAAATAAACAAACAAACAAATAAATCTTTAAAAAAAAAACCCAGTAAGTTATGGTGGTGATTCTAAGGGCCAGAAATCATATGTATTTTATGTTGGCACTATAACTCATAGTGAGTAGTTTAAGAGTAGTGCTTTTGTTTGTACCCCTAAAGGTAATCTTTGTAAAACTGCCCTCCCCACACACATTTCAACTGATTCTTAACCTTTAAAGATGCAATTTCACATGGTATAGTTGCTGACGTTCTAATATAAAATTTGTTCGTCACTCTTAACTGTACTAAAAAAGTATAATATTGCACTTTTGTATCCATCATCATCAATTTTAAAAATACATGGTATTTCACACAATTCCTTTTTATTGAAATTGTATATCGATTTATACCCCCCACCGAAGGTTATCTTAATGTAATTTGTTTACACTTGAAAGCTTTCTGTTCTGTCATATATAACTTTAATAAAAATATTTGTATAAATTGAAACTAATTTAAAAATTTCTACGACTCTAGGAGATTGTTTTCTTCTGGATTGAGTTACTACAGGTGGGAGCAGTTGGTCAGATTTTATTAAATAGTAAACATGAAAAGTCAAAATTCAGTGGAAATTTGTCTTAATGGAGGGAGGTTAGAGTTAGGCCTAAATTACATTTTACACCATTGACTTTGAGCTGTTCTTTTAGAGGGGCTTTTCCATCCTGGGTGAAGCACCATAGTAAGAATGGGAGTGGGTGAGAGGTATGACTTTGTTTTTGTCAAGTGGGAAGATTGTGAAATGAACCTGGGAGAATAGAAGAACAACATGATAGCTGGACTGCAAGCATATTCCCAGAGAGATGAGTTTTAGGCATGCAAAAATGGAAGCAGAAGGATCTGGAAGCTATTTTCTAAAAATTATAATGTTCCTTTGAAGTCTTCATATGCCCCAGCGGGACACATTCATTGGTTTGAAGACCATTTACAGTGGTGATTATAGACAGGGATGATTTTACTGCTCAGATGTATTTTGCAGTGTCTTCGAGACATTTTGTGTCATGGTGGTACAAAAAGGTGCTGCTATTGGCACCCAGTAAATAGAGATCAGAGATGCTGCTGAACATCCTACGAGGTGAATAGGACTCCACTGACAAAGAATTATTCACCTCAAAATGTTGATGATGCTGAGGTTGGGAAACCTTGATTGCGGCAGTTTTGAGTCTAAGTGTCAGATAGTAAATATTCTGGGCTTTCAAGGCCATATATCATGGCTTTTATACCCTTTACACCCTTTGTTTTATAGTAGTTTAAAATGTAAATTCTCACTTCTGGGTTCTTTGAGAAACAGGTGATCTAGGGCAATTGACAGGTTCAAACATCAACTTTTCTCTGCAAAGTAGTAATAGTATAATGCCTCAAGAATTGTCTGTAAGATTCAATGAGATAAACACATGGAATAGTATAGTGTTTAGCACACATTAAACACTGTGAACAATGCTTGCTTGTTGTGGTACTTTAGCATGTACCCGAAGAACTGACTGCCAAGTCACAGTGTTGTTCAAGACCTTATTAAAGTCAATTGGACAAAACTTCACATGCTGGTTAAGTTCCTCAATCAGCTCACAAAAACTTGCTTAACCTCTGCTGTCTTGTTTCCTGAACTCTGAGTTTTCCTTTACCCTATGGAAGGTAGAGAACAGAATTCCTGTCCTCTTGTTCTGAGGGAAGAAAGAGGTGGGGTCTGTGGAAAGGCTAAGGTGTTTTAATGACAAGTCAAAAGCAAAGGCCAGAATTGCAGGGAAAGGGATTGTTAATTTTGATAAGGGGTTTTGAGGTAGGGAGGGTGAGGTTGGTCTATTTGTGGTCAGTTATATGTGATGTTTTGTAAATTGAGGACTAAATATACTCCTAACAATAATGAAGTTCTTGGACCAACAGTTTCTCTATTTTTCAGGTTGGAAGGTACTTAATCAAAAAGTAGACCACAGTTTCTGTGATGTTTTGATAGTGTAGATTGTTGCTAAAACAGCCTTAGACCATTTAGATTATCCTGCCACAGTTTAATGAGATGACAGGGAAAAAAATCTCAAACTGTGGTATCCAATAACAATGGGCATGTGGGTATTGAGCGTTTGAAATGGGACTAGGTGGAATTGAGATATGTTTTGTAGACAAAATACACACTGAGTTTGGAAGACTGAATTCAAAAAAGAAGATAAAATATCTCAAATTTTTTATTTGAGTACATGTTAAATAGTATTTTGGATGTATTTGGATAAATAAAATGTCACTGAAATTAATTTCACCTCTTTTTTCTTTTTGATGTTGCTGCAAGCAAATTTAAGTATATAGCTTGCATTGTAACTGTTTTCTAAATTAGTAATTTTTTATCATTCATATAGAATTAAATATTTTTATAAGTCTTAATAGTGAAAATCTGAGATCCCTTCCTCCCAAGGGTCTTATTTAGTAAATAGCTTTTTTTTTTTTTTTTTTTTTGTGGGATCCTCACCGGCAGCTGGGGAATGAACCGGGGCTGCAGAGGCTGGCGGGCAGCCTTGCAGCCCAGTGCTCAACCGCTGCACCACCAGGGGAGGCCCAGTAAATAGCTTTTTAATAAGCTCTGTTGCTACATAGACTCCCTCTTCCAAAGAAGATTGAATTCCATCAGTTGTTTTGCCTTTTGGAGATACTGTGATGTGATATAAATGAAGCTGTTTCTCTAACCCCCCACCTTAGCTTAGGCTTCACCTTTCTTAAACGGTGTTTTGTGAGTTACCGCTTCTCTGTCTTTTTCAGAACCAAAGCACTGTTAATTCTTCTTCTGCCTTCTTTGTCCTTGTGAGTTCATTTATCTGTTCAATTAAGGAATAACAGAAAGTGTGTATAGTGCACACTTTCTGTGTGTGTATAGTGCACACACAGAAAGTGTGTATAGTGTAATTGAATTTACAACATAATGACATACTGTATACACACATGTAATAGTCAGATCAAGGTTACAGAACATTTCCATTTACCATAAGGTCATCCCCCACCTGTCAGCATTGTTTTTATTTCTGTCATCACAGACAGGTTTTGCTTGTTCTTCAACTTCACTTACAAAGTCTCTTACTATATAGTCTCATGAAGTCATTTGTATCTGACTTCTTTTGCTCAAAGATTGGTGAAATTCTTGGGTATTGCAGGATTCTTTCTAGTTTTGTGTGATTTCTGTATATTGACTGCATTGTATAAATGTCCACCATTTATTCCTTTTCTTATAAGTGGACATTTGGATTATTTTGCATTTCTGGTTTTGTGAATAAGGCTACTGTGAATATTGTTGTATGTGTTCTTGAAGTAGATATTCATTTCTCTTGGTTATATACCTTCTAGAGGAATTGGTGTGTCGTAGAGTGGGTGAATGTTTGGTTTTACTGGAAATTGCCAGTTTGCCAAAGTGGCTAAACCATTTTTTTTTTTTTTTTTTAACTTCTGCCAGCAAACTATGAGGCCTAAAATGGCTTCCTTAATACTTGCCAGTCTTTTCAGTGTTTGGTCATATTGTGGATTTTAATTTCATTAGCCTGAGGAATATAGTAATAAATACTATTTCACATGCCATTTAAATATTCTTTTTTTTTAAAGATTTATTTATTTATGCATACAAGAGCTGGGGCACAGGCCAGAGATGGGTGGCGGGGGTGACAGGATTTACCAGAGACAGTGGGGAACAGAACAGGTGGATCAACTGAAGTACACTGCTGAGGGGAGCAGCCGGTGAGACGGGAGAGGACTGCCTCGCCATGTGGGTTGCTCCCTGGCTGGCCAGGGATTGAACACATGCTGCGGAGGCTGCGGATTCCTTCATAGGGGGGTGCTTAACCCCTTGTGCCACCAGGGAGGCCCCCCATTTAAATATTCTTTTTAATGAAGTGCCTGTTTGCCTTTTTCATTAAAAGAATGGTTGCTTTTAAATAATCTTGTTAGTTATTTTAATGGTGTTTTGGAAGGAAACTGGGCTACCTGTTTCCAAGTCACTGGTCACCTTTAAATAGAATGCAGAGAAATTTAAAGCTTCATCCCAATATTTTCCTGACTTTTGTCCTCTCCAGTGCATCCTTCAGCCTCATTTTTAATTAGTTGGATATTCTCTGGATTTATATTTTAACAAATTTACATGTGCCTCTTTGATTCCAACCTTAAATATTTATGATAGGAAACTTTTATTTCTTAAACTGGAACAAGGAAATCCTTCAATAGATATATTCTAACTTATTCTTTGCTATTTTAAATTAAAAAGACATTTAGGGCCAACAGCATTATTCATTTAACAAATCCATGTTGAGTGGTTTACTCCATTTCAGATCTAATAGTAGGTTGAAGTAATACATAGTGAACAAGACAGACAAGCAAGACTCCTGTTCTCTTGAAATATACTCAGCCAGAGATGATATTAGTAAAGAAATAGCTAAATAAGATAATTAAAGATAATATCTGTTTTGCAGAAATGGATCAAGAACCACAAAATGGAGAACCTGCTGAAATTAAGATCATTAAGGAAGCATACGAGAAAGCCTTTCTGTTTGTTAATAAAGGACTGAGTACAGATGAATTAGGGCAGAAGGAAGAAGCAAAGAACTATTACAAGCAAGGAATAGGACATCTGCTCAGAGGAATCAGCATTTCATCAACAGAGCCTGAACACACAGGCCCTGAGTGGGAATCTGCTAGACAGATGCAACAGAAAATGAAAGAAACACTACAGAACGTACGTACCAGGTTGGAAATTCTAGAGAAAGGTCTTGCCACTTCTCTACGTAATGATCTTCAGGAGGTACCCAAGTTATATCCAGAATTTCCTCCTAAAGACATGTCTGAAAAGTCTCCAGAGCCTCCATCCATTAGTTCACCTACTCTGCACCCTGAAGTAAATGGAAATACTTCAAATACAGGGCCACTTCCTGCACCTAATTCTGTAGCCTTACCATCTCCGAGTCATCCAGCAGAAGCACCTCCTGCTTATACCCCGCAAGCTGCTGAGGGTCACTACACTGTATCCTATGGAACAGAATCTGGGGAATTTTCATCAGTTGGAGAAGAGTTTTATAGAAATCATTCCCAGCCACCTCCTCTTGAGACCTTAGGGCTAGACGCAGATGAGTTGATTTTGATACCAAATGGAGTCCAGATTTTTTTTGTAAATCCTGCAGGAGAGGTTAGTGCACCTTCATATCCTGGGTACCTTCGAATCGTGCGGTTCCTGGACAATTCTCTTGACACAGTACTAAACCGTCCTCCTGGGTTTCTTCAGGTAAGCCAGAGAATACCATCATTTGACTTAGATGTAGAATTCATCATTTTTGTTTGTTAATATTTATAATGTGTCCAGTACACTGAACCAAAAGATCGTCAGTTCTCTTTTAAAATAGATTTCATAAAATGTATGGGGCTTCAACATCCATGTGTTTGGTAGCCTTTTTCTTTTTTAAGATATGAAATCTTTTATTAGTATTAAGATAGACCTGAAGGGTAGCAGAATATTCATCCTTGAATTTTTAATCCTTTATCTGAAGAAAAAAACCTAATAACTAATTTCAAACTATAATTCATGTGAATATATACCTATAAAAATATTCACAACTGTTGTCATGCACCAGCTGAGGAGCTAAACTGGGCTAGGTTCAGTCTAGTGACCAGCTGTCACAACTGGACCAGGGAGAGTTGCTGTTGCTACTGACATATAATAGTTAAGAGGCCAGGGGTGCTCTTCAACATTTAAACAATTGAGCGCCCATCAATAAAAAAATTGTCCAACCAAGTATGTCAGTAGTGCCAAGTTTGAGAAACCCTGGTGTGGAAATAGACTGATGATTTAAGGTGCAGTACTGAGACTCCAAGCATGAAAATTTATCAAATGCTCTCAGTCCAAGATCAAAGACTAGCACTACAGATATCTCCTATTTATGGTCCTAAATAAAAAATAAAATTGCATTCAAAGTTTGAGTCTCTTTTAAGTGGCTCTCATTTGTATGTATTAAGATATTTGTAGCATCTTTTAGTGTCTTAAAAGAGAATTTTCACATGCTTATTGAATTTTTTATTCTAAAAAACAATAAGCCAGTTATGAGACGTTAAATACAATTTATGCTTTAATTGCAATAGTCTGTTTTAGAAATCAGAGTAAGATAATTTGATTTTAAGTAGGCAGGCTTAGAATTTAGGCCATCTACCCTGTGGTGATTATTTAAATAAATATATCCGCCTTATAGGAGAATAATCATCCTAAAATATGTTCCTTAAATTACCATTCCTATGTATTTTTCCTTTGCAAATGGATGCGTGTGTATTCATGTAGTATTAAAGCTCATCTCTTCTGATAAATGTTTTTTAAAAAAGAAGTCTAGGGTCTCTAAAAGCTATTTTTTCTCATGCTTTGAGTTTTGACAGACTTTTAAAACCTGTTTAACCTGCACGTCATTCATACAAAACATTTATGTCAGTTTACCCTTTCAAAGTGAAACTGGAAAAAATCAGCCAGTAATGGATGAGTTCATCAGTTTGTAATAATCCACTCTAAGAAAAGTCAGTAGATTTTGTTTGGGGATTTTTGGGGATTCTCCAGTTAATCTTACAGAACTCATGGCATAGTACAAGAAACTTTAGCTAAAGGGTAGTTATTTAAGTATAACCATTACAAACTTTTTGTCAAATTTTATTTTTTTTAAATATTGTTATTTTAATGTTGCATTTATGAATTTCATCCTAACCAGTAACAACTGAAATTGAGGGAAAGCTATTTTATTTATCCCTAATGTAAAAATGTTTAGCTATTCAAATTTAAATAGTTTGCATAGTACTTGAAATTATTTCACATACCATAGATGCTTATGTATAATACTTTGAAAAAACAGTAGTGTTTTATTCTAACTTTATATGCGATAGTAGCTTTTGAGACAATGAAAAAAATACATAAAGAAAATTAATTTGAAATTTTTTATTAAGCACTATCAAGGAAAGAGTCATACGTGGGTAGCCTTATCCCTCCACATTTTTTTTTTAATTTATTTATTTATTTGTTTGTTTTGTTTATACATGCACTGGGTACAGTCAGAAGCGCGGGAGGGCGAGAGAATTCACCAGAGCCAGAGCGGGGAGCAGAGCAGGCAGAAGGACCGAAGTACACTGCTGAGGGGAGCAGCGGGCGGCAGGAGAGGTCTGCGCGCCATGTGGGACCCTCCTCCGGTGGCCGGGGAGCAGCCGGGGATCGAACCGCTGCGCGCAGAGGTCGCCGGCAGCTTCGCAACCCAGCGCTCAACCGCTGCGCCACCGGGGAGGCCCCCTCCCTCCACATTTATATTCTGTGAGAGATGATGTAGAATTCTACCAATTCTACCAATTCTACCAATGTAGAATTTTCCATTGGTACATAAAATTTTTCATGGTCTTTGACTCATATACACCATACAATGTTTCCATGGTAAATTGTCCTTGCAGCTTTTCTAAGATTAGGAAGATAGTGTCCTGAGAGAGGGGCACAGTTATATTCTGCTCACTTAAAGCATGTATGTTAATGGCAATTAATATGTTTGGATATTTGAATTTTAACTTAGACTCTTCTCAAGTTAGAGCTTCAAAATGTAAGCTTAAGTCTTGGTGCATCAACAGTCTAACCTCTCAGGTGACATTTCAGGGCAGCTTTGTGTCATTCTGATTTAGCGATAAACATAATATATTCCATTCTAGCTCTGTCATTTCACTTCTGTTGGGCTTAAAAAAATTATTCAGTGTGTTGATTACTGGTTTCTTTTTTTTTAAAAAGATTTATTTTATTTATACAAGCTCTGGGGTACAGGCCAGATGCACGGGACAGTGAGAGGATTCACCAGAGACAGAGCGGGGAACAGAACAGGCAGACTGACAAAATACACTGCTGTATTTTGAGGGGAGCAGCGGGTGAGACAGGAGAGGTCTGGTCACAATATGGGTTGCTCCGAGGCTGGTGGGGATCGAACTCATGCTGCAGAGGCTGCAGATTGCTTCACAGCGCTGTGCTCAACAGCCTGTGCCACCAGGGAGGCCCCCTAGATTACTGGCTTCTAATTAAAATAATTTTTTGCTTCTCTTGTGCCAGATTGCATGTGTTCCACTTTTTAGTTATTGACTGAGCAACTTCTCTGTGCTTCATGTTTTTTGTACATAAAAGGACAACCTTAACCAACTTTATGGGATTATTGATGAGAATTAAACCAGCAAATCAATGTAGAGTCCTTGAAAAATGTTTGCTTTTTTAAATTTCCACAAAAACGATGTCTAATTTGAATAAATGTTAATTTATTTTGACCAGTATTTATTCAAAGTGATTCTCATTATTGGTTAACAGTGGACTATATAAAGCCCAGGTTTTAAGTTATGATTAGTGATTTGTAGCACAGTTCTTCCTGAGTAGTTTACAGGAGCATCAAACTAGCAAGTGGTAGATTTTTCATGGAGGATTTGTTGACGCTGATATTTTTTTAAAGATCTGGTAAAAGGTACTTCAAACTTGAAAATAGTTATTTTTTGTTATGTGAATTTTAAAACCCTTGGTGAAAATCTTGTTCTAATTATATATATTTTTTAACTAATCTCTTCAGGTTTGTGACTGGTTGTATCCTTTAGTTCCTGATAGATCTCCAGTTCTTAAATGTACTGTGGGAGCCTACATGTTTCCTGATACAATGTTACAAGCATCAGGATGCTTTGTGGGAGTCGTCTTGTCTTCTGAATTACCGGAAGATGATAGAGAACTCTTTGAGGATCTGTTAAGACAAATGTCTGACCTTCGGCTCCAGGTGACTTTGTATGATAATGTTCAGGATGAAAATCTACCCTAACATGAGAAATTGTTGTAGGCTCTAATATGATCAAAGTTAGGAATCTGTGTATGCAATGTGCATGTGTATTCACATATACAAATTGGGGATTGGCTGCAAATAACGATTAAAATTGTGGACTTTGGAATCAAATTGCCTGGTTTTTTAATTCAAATTTCCCTCACTTACTACAGCTATTTAACTCAGTTTACGGATCTTCTCTAAACTTAGTTCTCTTACCATAAAATGGGGATAATAATAACATCCACTTCCTTGGGCCATGGTAAAGACTAAAATTTAATACCTTAAGGCATTTATATCAGTGCTAGCAAGTGGTAATGTTCTGTGAATATTACTGCTTTGCTGCTCAATTGGAAAAGTGGGTTAATGGAACTAAATAGTGAAGTGCAAGCAATTTCAGGGTATACGTATGACTGGCATTTTGAAATAGAAACAGTTTTTGTTTGTGAGAATTATCTTTGTTCTAATGGTAAATAAAGGCCAAATAAAGGCAAAAAATTAAAATGTGAATTTTATCCTGTCTCCATGTGCATGTCCTTATCTGTTAAAGGGAGCTGAAATATCATGGAAAACCTTTCTTTTTTTAACTTTTTTTCCCCTTTTTTTTGTGTTGAAGAACTGAGGTGTAGGCCAAAGGTACAGGTGGTGAGAGAATTCATCAGGGACAGAGTGAGGAGCAGAGTAGTTGGATTTACTGAAATATGTTGCTAAGGGGAGCAGCAAGTGAGACAGGAGAGTCTGCTGACTGTATGTGGGTTAGCTCCCTGGTAACAGTGATAGAGCTGAGACTTAACCCCTAGGCCACCAGGGAGGCTCCAGAAAAGCTTTGTTTAGGGGTTACTGCCTACCGTAATATAGAACAAGATGGGGAAATATTTTTTATTGTGAATATTTGAATTGTTATCTGGGGTTGAAGTAGATTGACAGCATGATAGTACAATCTTTCATTCTCAGCATATTATTTAGAATCTATTATTTAACTAGGTGTATGGTGTTAAATATTGGGACAAGAAGAGAGAACGGGAGACTATAAATATTATATATGTGTAACAACTCCTATATCAGGCATCTTATAGTCTTGATAAGCATAGCGCAGTGTGATAGGAAATGAAGTAAAAGTATATGCAAAGTTCAGGAAGGAGGTTGGGGGAATTTCATAAAATTTTTCCCATTGAATTTTAGTCTTAAAAGAGTTGTTCATATTTTCTCAGTAAGCAGGACACATTTTCAGTCCTTTAAAATATCAAAAGTGATAGAGCATATCATCAGCTAAGCAGAAGGTCAGAGAGTTCCCTAAGTATTAGGCTGTATAAACTATATATGAAAATGACCTGATTACTAACATATATGTTAGCATAGCCAATGCTGTACATTTGAACTATATTAACAAAATACTTGATCCCTGTACGGTGTGCTAATGGAGAGTTCACAAAGGCAGGAACGTGGTCAAATGGATATAGATTCAAATCTTAGCTTGGAAATTTACTACTTCAATGAAGTGGACATTCTAAAATCCTTCTGACGTATTAGAGAGTTGTTTGTCCCTTGACCCTTAACATTTATTCAACCTATATTACTGGAAAGACATTAAACTGTCTTATAGGTTATTTTTTTTCTCTGTTCAGTTTTGTTTTTTGGTTGCATGTTATTTTTAGCATGCTCTATTGTCCCAGAACTTTAGTTGTAAACAAATGGTAATTCGTTGATTTAATTGTCTTTGCTCTTAAGCATTCATCCAGCAAAGTGTATGCTTGCAGAATAAATTTAGTATTAAGTGCAAAGGCAACCAAAAAAACAAAATCAACCTTGCAGAGTTTTTGACCTGCACGTGTTTTCTTAATTGCCTTTAAATTCATTTAGTCTTATGTGTGTTTTTCTAAGCCTTACTATTTAATTCAATTCAGTAGTAATTACTTAAATTCAAATGTGGCTGCATCTGATTTATCATTTATACCAACAAGCTTTAAGTTTATCTTTTATAATACCTTTTGAAAATTGCTTTAGGCCATAAGCTCTGAACCAAAGAAAAAGGTTTGAGGTTTGATATAAGATAAAACAAAAGTATAGGGAAAAAATAGGCAAAAGTAGTTGTGTCTATAGATTGTCAAACACTGACATTTGAAAAAAATCTAAAGGAAAATACTAACATTTGAGCACATGTATTATTAGAGCATTGGACAGAGCTTAGAGGGAAGTCATTTGAGAAAATCTGGATTTGACCTAAGCTTAGTCCTTTACTCTTTAGACCAACTGGAACCGGGCAGAAGGAGAAAATGAATTCCAAATCCCTGGAAGATCAAGAGGCCCTCCTGACCAATTGAAAGAAGCCAGTGGCACTGATGTGAGACAGTTAGATCCTTCATTGGACCAAGGCAGTAAGGATGTGCGTCATAAAGGAAAACGAGGGAAAAAGGTAAGTAAAAGAGCAGTAAGGTGTGCGTGTCTATTCTGATGATACCTTTCACCAGTTCCAATTATTTATGAGATCCCCTCCTGCAACTTGTGGTGTCAGTCAGTAAATACTGGTAAAAGTAATTAGAATGTCCCTTTCCGTTGCTTGAATTGTTTTAAAAGATATTTCGTATTGGGAGGAGGGATAGATATTTTTTCAACTAATTGAAATATTTTTATAATTACATTAGTGATGCATATACTTTTTTTTAGTTTTGTGTTGTGGTCTTCTCTACCTTCCTGTATATAAATATGCCAGGATCTTAGGACTAGGTATGCTCCTGTCTCGTGTTTCTTACACTGCTGTTTTTATTCGGGTTTCTTATTTCTTCATGGGTGGTCAATAAGACAGAGATTGGATTTTTAAAAATACACTTACTAATTTCTTTTTTCATTTCTTAGTCTGAGTAGATACTATTCTATAAATGTTAAAGTGTTAGAATGCAGTGGCAAAAGTTCAGATTTTTAACTTGAGAAATTTACTTGATAAGCAGATCAGCAAAAAGAAAATTTCATTCTATCATGGTATTGCATTTTGTTTTAAAGTATTCTGGTAACTAGGTTGGTTGGAGATATTTTCATTAACTACATCTAGTATTTTTTTATATAATGTTTACAATTTGCCCCTTACTACCTTACTATTTCACATTTTGAAACATTTTTACTTTTAGACAAAAGATACTTCAAATGAAGAAGTTAATCTGAGTAACATTGTACCCTATGAGCCAGTTTCAGAAGAAAAAGCAAAGGAATTACCTGAATGGAGTGAAAAAGTGGCTCAGAACATTTTGTCAGGTATTACAGTAACAGACTTTTATTCACTGTAATGTGAAACTTTTGGTCTCCATAAGGGAATACTGAGCTATATTTTGTATTTTAGTTCTAGATAACCAGTTTATAAATATTTAAACAAAAATAGAAGGAACATCGCTTAGAACATCAATTGTCATATAGGTGTAAGTTTTTCGTGGCCAGTTATTCTCTGTTTGTACTCTGTAAAATTGACATGGCAGTCTTAAGTTAGTCTGGCTCCAAGGGTGAATGGTCTAGCAAACAGGCATAAGCTGCATATAATCTGGCATATTCTTGGAAATTTCCAGCATCATTCATTATAAACACATCTTTCCAGATTCAGGGGAAACCATTTCTTAAGAGGGGAATGTCAAGATTATGTTGAAAGAATATATGAAACAGGAGATATGGCTGCTGGCCATTTTTGGAAAAGTCAGCTACTACAGGGAAAAAAAAAAGTCTGCTAGCACATAGATTCCACACACTGATTCTACTCAAAGGAATAGAGCTTCTTAGACCCAGTTAATTCTGGAAAAGATCTCTTCAGATATTTCAAAAGAACTCTAAGCAGTGCATCATTTAAAAATGAACAAAAATTACATTCTGCTGATCTCATTGTCTTCATGTTTGTAATTCTTTTCCTTTTCATCTTATAACCTCAGGGCTAGAGTTTAGTAATAGGCATAATGGTAATATTCAAACTTCCTAGCTGGCTATAAGTATATGTCTTCTTTTGTTCTTTTTAATAGGTACAATAAAAAACAATTAGCTCACCAATACTTAAGGTACAAATGACAAAGAAAGGCACAGAGAATATATATATGAAAAATTACCTGTCTAGAGACTTTTAATGTGATTGTACTTGCACTCACATCATGTATCTTAACTTCACAAGATGAGTAACTAGAACCAGAGATCTATATTGTGCTCATTCACCATAGCCCATCACTGGTTCCTGTCCACTGTTGAAGGATGAATAAAGATCAGTAAAAGCTATAGTCTTATCCTTTAAATTTACCTTTATAGAATTTTGGCTTAGCATTTTTAAATAAACAGGTCTGATTTTTCCATGATCACTGGATGTCTTCTCACTCAATGGCTAAAGTAATTATGTACAAACCATTCCACAGACCTTAGGGGAGAAGCACCTCAAGTATTTCATATGTCTAACTTTAAAAGTTCCATTTTTTTTTTTCAGGGTATAGTCACAAAGGAAATATTTAAAATTGTAAGTTCTTTCCAGAGGAGAGTAATACTTTGCTTTTTAGGGGACAACCCTTCCTCCTTATGTGTCTTTCTTTGCTTCTCTCATCTAGTTCCCATTTCCCCTTTTCTCACATGTTCCCTCCCTCGGGGCCTTTCTCTTTAGAGAAGTGTCTGTATTCTCCCTATCCCTTTGTTCATGCAGCAAGAAACAACTGGGGCCTGCTCCCATGAAAAATAAACTAAATCATCTAGGCCTCTCAGTTTTAATCTCTTGGGTTTTTTTCTTCTTGCACTTTCTTTGGGTGTTTTTATGTCTCTCAGTCAGTCAGTTTTATGTTAGAAGCTTAAAGGTGCTTAAGGTCAAGGTGTTAAGATGTGGGATTTAGGGAGGAATGGGATCACCTGCTCTGCGCTTTTAGCCTAAATCAAACAAGCAGGAGTAGATAGTGGTAAAGATTTGTTCATTTCTATAATGGTTTGTGTTGTTTGTGTCATTCTCCTTCAGCTCTTCAAGGGGAGGTGGAGGGGGATGAAGAGGGGTTGTGAGGTGGTACCTGGACTAAGGCAACTAGAACAAGGATAGCTGGGTCCACTAGTCAAATGCCATCTTTAGTAGTATACTGTTGTAACATAGAGATGCCTACACATGGCAACATAGATTAATACAGAATTCTGCTACTGAGTGATATATAAATGTTGAAAGATAAATTTATTTAGAAAACTGTAAGTGGGAAGTTTGCTTGAAAGTTTATGGCATGTTTGTGATCTAAAATTGAATATTTTTCCTATTAATCGGTTATTAAATTAGGATTTAAAAGTATAATTAGCCTTAATATTATTCAACTTAACATTTTTCTTTGAAAAGGTGCTTCCTGGGTGAGTTGGGGTTTAGTCAAAGGTGCAGAATTTACTGGCAAAGCAATCCAGAAAGGCGCTTCTAAACTTCGAGAACGGATTCAGCCAGAAGAAAAACCTGTGGAAGTTAGCCCAGCTGTGACCAGAGGACTTCATATAGCAAAGCAGGCCACAGGAGGAGCAGCAAAAGTCAGCCAGTTCTTGGGTAAAGTAACTTTAGATTACTTTTCAGTTAAATTAAAAATAATTTGTTAATCCAGGTTAACCTAAGTGCTCATTTAGATGGTTTAAGAATAAAGAATTTTTTCTAAGAACAAAGTTTTACCTTGCTACTACAGTGGGATCTACAGAAAAACATGTATTTATCTGAGTCTTAGAAATAAGAATTTTAAGCACTTGCCACATCTGATTAAGAACCTGCATTTTTTCCTTAAAATTCCTAGATGTCTCTTATTTACATACTAAAGTTCAAGAAACACTGGTTAAAGGGTTGTTTTAATGTGTTGGAGAGGGGATTTGTCTTTGCCTTTGGAATGGTTTTGACTATATGTGCTATCCTGGAATATGATACATTTATTTTTTTATCTTCCCTCATGAAAAACATAATTCTAACTTTTAAAAAATAAATTATTTATATATATTTTATATCATTGTTCATTTTTGTACAATGTTTGCTTACTTTTCTCAGGTGTAGTCCCCATAGAATTTCCACCGCCAATTCGCCAGTGTACCATCACCATAGTGCCTTGTGCTCTTCCCGCCCTCCTTTTGATACCTCTTCCTCCTCCTCCCCCACACAATGTCTCTGATTTATAGTTGCCTGATTATTTTTGTTTTGTTGTGTTTATTTTTATTATTTTTTCCCTGATCCCTTATTTGGTTTCCCTATATTCCTATTAGTGAAACCATCCCATGTTTTTCTTTTTCCTTCTGACTTATTTCTCTGAATATGAATATGATACATTCTTTCAAGGACAACTGACTCCTTAGTAGCTGAGAGCCTGGGAGGCAGGAGGTATTGTTTGAGAAAGGATGTTTAATAGATTCTTGTGCCAGCCTTCCCAAACATTTCCTTTTTAATCCCTTCTCTTGAGAATCAGAGCTCTAAATTCGGTATTTTAAAGTGGTCAAATAGCTGCTTACAGTATTATCATTTAATTATTTAAAAAAAAAGGTTGGGTATTTAGTGTTCTTTTAAATCAGATTTTTTTTTTTTTACTTCTATATAAACTTAATTTTCATTTCTATTTCAGTGAGTTTGCTGATATAGAAAAAAAAATCAAGTACACTTAACTGGAAAACACAAAAAGTGAACCTACCCATTTTGCATTGCAACAATCAGATAGAAAAGGTTTTCTTTTAAGTAAAAATACCAAAAAGAACATTGTATTTGAGAGGCATGTAGTTATAAGAGGCAGGTAATTTGCTACTAATGTAGGCTCAGCAAATATTCCTTAAACTAAATAATAGCTTTTGTTTAAAAAACAGCCAATTTTAGTTCTATCCTTAAATAGAAATGCTAACATTATGCAGTAAAACAAGTTTAGATGCCCCTGTAAGAATTTTGTTAAATAAAACTGATAACATCAAGGAAAGAACACATTTTTTTCCTAAGATTTTTTTTTTTTATCGGTTGTATTAGTAGATGGAGTTTGCACTGTAGCAAATTGTGTTGGAAAGGAACTAGCTCCACATGTCAAGAAGCATGGAAGCAAACTTGTTCCCGAATCTCTTAAAAAAGACAGAAATGGGAAGTCTCCTCTGGATGGTGCCATGGTTGTAGCAGCAAGTAGTGTTCAAGGTAACATAAAGGCCCAGAAATTTAACTAGGAAGGTCTATTGGCTTAGGCCAGTTTTACTTACTTTTAAATGTATTTGCAGGATTTTCAACTGTCTGGCAAGGATTGGAATGTGCAGCTAAATGTATTGTTAACAATGTTTCAGCAGAAACCGTACAAACTGTCAGATACAAGTAAGTTGAATTTTATCAGTTTGTATGCCTCTTATGCATTTATAGAAATCCAGGACATCAAAGAAGTTATTTTTATTAAGTGTCTGACAAAACAATTTTTTCACTATTTTTCTTAAGTAGGAAGAAACATGTTTTTAACAAATTAATAGGATTGCTGTGATTTTGTTTATAATTTACTATTTATTATCAATATTTGTTTACCATTAGTGCCTAGAGTTACTATATGCCTTAATTATGTTCATGATGTATGATATTTGTCTATAGGTTTTATGGGAAAAACTTGAATTATAATTAAGCTGTTTTAGATGGATGTCAGATGGATGTCATCTATTCCATGTAATACAAAATGGACAAAAGTAGAATGATTTGCCCATAAGTGTTTTAAAGATGAGACTAAAAAAATAGGATCTTCTGATTTTAGTTCTTAATACTGTCCTTACAAATACTAGAGGAATCAAACTTAAAAATAAACAAAAACCTAAATCTAGTATGAAGAACCTGAGTTGCTTTTCTTAGCTTTGAGTTCATTTAGATCTTAGATCTTAGTATTTAATGTTTATTTAGAAAGCATATTCTCTTAATGGTATTCTCTCCTCTTGGTGATCTGTGTTAATTATCCACTCACAGGATTCAAACATTTGAATTTATACATTTGAATTTATACTTAAATATCAGACATTTTATTTAGTGCTTTTCATATGTATTATTTTATCTTCATCACTATTCCCTCCATTTTCTAGATGAGGAAACCAAAGCACAGAATGTTAAGTACTTTGTTAGAGATTATGCCCTATTAAGTAGTATAGCTGGGATATAAACCAAATCTCTCTCTGTCATGCACTGTCAGAGAATGGTGCTGCATCACCATTCTCCTCGGTGGGTTATTTGTTTAATATATGGAGTTATTTTCCACCACTGTCTGGCATGTCTTTAGATTACCCCCCACCACAGAGTGAATTGTCTTTGACTTAGGAAATACTAACTTTTTCCAGCCTAAGTTAGTTTGATCTGTTCAGTCTTGGGCATGCATATATTTGAATAGAAGCAACATGGCAAAACATCTTGATGTGTCAAGAAAAAAGATTTGGAAAAGAAAATACAAGGTGTTCTTACTGCCTATGGTAATCCCTCCTATGCTAATAGGCAATAGTTGTTTCAAATTGCCTTAATTATATGTATTATGCTCAGGAGGAAAACAAATGTGTTATTGAACTTCTGTATGAGAGTTCTGGTGGTATCGGTCAATACAGAGGAATATCTTGTTATTTAAGCATGTTCAAAAGTAGATTGTATTAAAGGAATATTTATCCATGCCTTTTATGGTTTTGATTGTGATTCAGGGTTATGAATGGTTCACAAAAGGATTCATATAATTATGCTCTTAAAATGTTTAGGAAAATGTATAGAATTGTTAATAGTTTACCTTTATCAGCTACCTTAGTACTTTCATTTTAGGATCATGAAGACAGGAATAATGAAAAGCAATAAGTCAACCTGCTATAGTTTAAATGCAATATGGTATCTATTAGATAATTTATCACTAGTAGCTAAATATCACCTTGAAGCTCCTTTGTTTCCACTCTAAATTGTTCAGGGGAAAATAATACCACTTCAGTAAATTAGGTTTTTGTTTTCCCCTTAGAATATTTTCTTAGAACACTTATTTGTGAAGAATAAACTTAGCAAAAAATATTTTTCTGTAAAGAATTTACTTTTTAAATATATTTTATTAGTTTGTTTAGTGAATTTTAACTAAACTGTCCTTAAATTTGCCCTGGGTGAAGGGGTAATTTAAATCTGATAAGGTTAACTCCTTTGGCAGATGTCATACTACCCCAAATCTGCTATATAACATGTACTAGTCAGGAGTTACAGAATCAACCATCTCTTTTGAATATGGTAACTATATAAATATTTAAACACCATCACAATGTCCTTCATTTATTTTTTCTTGTATTGTAAATATCCTTCCTAGTTTCTGTAACAGTATGGTTTCTATATACAGTATGGTTTCCAAGTCCTTTACTGGTGGTCTCAAAACATGGCACCGAGAAGTGAATCTAATATACCAGATACGTTATGATCAGATTGAATACAGTGTTGGTAAGATTTTTGCACTTGATAAATATGGCATACAAGAGAAGTCTTCATGGAAAACAAGTAAAATCATCAGGGTACCAAAACAGATCCCTTTTTAATACATTGTTAAAAATAATACAGCTTTTAGAATTGTAATACATATAGAAGAAATATCATGAGGGCAGTTAGATCTATCAAACTGGAACAGTAGAATAAGGGACATCCAGTATTCAGAAGTGGAAATTTTTATGTGGAGGAATTCCAGTGTTCAAAAACACTGATGGGGGAAATTCTTGTTTTGATATCACTTCACTGGAGTTCACAAAATCCTGAAGAGAGAAGCTTTAATGGAAATGTGCTCAACTGAAATTAAGGTTATTCTTCCAGTGCTAAAACTGCCAACACTGCTTTTTCTCATTTGGTTTTAGCCAGTGCCAACTGATGATATTTGTGACAATGGGAAGGCCCCAAGTCTTTGCAACACAGCAAATTATGTGTAATTGAGGGTTGCAAGGTAACTGGTAGAAGGCGGTTATAGGAAGCATTTCAGTCTGTTTTCTGGTGAGACTATTCCTGTCAGGAGTGCTTGACAGATTGTGGCTTCTGCTATTCTCTGACTAATTATTAAGGCAAAGGACACAACAGAATCATCATTCAGGAGCATAACAGTGAAATTACCTCACATTTCTAATACTGAGGTTCAGAAAACCAAACTTAAGCCAGTAGGATTGCAAATCATGGATCTAGGCCAGGTTAATGTCATAGAGGATTTCTTTCATTCAAAGCACAAATCCTGTGTTAGTCTAAAATGTCCAGTTACAGTTTACAAAACACCTAGGAATCTTCAGTGTATTAAGACAAAATTGTCAAAGTTTTACCTGTCTGTTGTTTAAACAGTCCTGTAACTGAGGAAATCTATGGCAAGAAAGTTATAAAAGACTGGTACTTAAAACAGGGTAAGTTTTAGTAACCTTGTATGGGTCCTCAAATTGTATTTTCTCATATAAATGTAGGATATTTTTATCATAAATAATAAGTACATTTCTGTAGTTCTTTGTAATTTTTCAAGTACTTTGTATACATTGAATGATTTAGAAACTGTGAAATTGACTAAGGAAGAAACAAATATTGAATGCCAGTAACTGTTTTGAGTGCTTAGGTACATTAATGAACAAAGGAAAGAGTTCCTTCTCATGTGGGACCTTATAGTCTAGTAAGACAATAAACGAAAAAGAAACAATAGCTGTAAATAAGTTCTATAGTAAATGGCAGGTGATAAGTTATAGAAGAAAAAAAAAAGCAGTTTAAAGGGGAATCGATTGACAGTGGAGTGGGGCATGTGGGATAAGGCAGCTTAATTAGTAGGCAAACTTAAAGAAGGTAAGGCAGTTAGCTGTGTGAATACTTGGAATGAGAGTAGTCTGAGCAAATACCAGCCAGTCCAAAGGTCCTAAGGTGGCATATTGTGCTTGGTGGGTTCAAAGTCCAGCTGGTCTACCAGTGAGTCTGTAGTAAAGTGTGGAGTGAGGGAAATAGTATTAGAGAATCGCAGCTTAAAGACAAACTCAGATTCTAGTAGTTTAAAAGACTTAACCTTTGGTAGACCTCAAACCATTTTTGGTGACTAAATTACTGGTGTCCTGCAGTTGCTTCAATGAAAATTCTCTTATACTTCGAGAAGTTGTTAATAATGACTGATTAACAACTTTTATTAAAACTTACGTTTTATTCTTCAACATAGTCTTTATCACATTAATTTCAATTAACCTGAGTTTATTTTCACAGTTTTTGCTAAAAGAAAAAATACAGCCTTGTTATATAGTGTGATTTTATCCATTACTATGTCTTAAGCTATTAAGTTGAAAACTAACCTTTGATTTTGCTTTCAGGGATAACATACTAATTGTGTGACTTATTTAATATTAACTCAGAAGATCTTAATTTATAACATTGTAGTTTCTTTATTATTTCTTTTAAAGGTATGGGCATACTGCGGGAGAAGCTACACATGATGCAGTAGATTCTGCCATCAATGTTGGTGTAACTGCCTATAATATTGACAACATTGGTATCAAAGCAATGGTGAAGAGAACTGCAAAACAAACTGGACATACACTCCTTGAGGACTATAAACTAGTTGATAATTCTAAGGGGGGAAATCAAGAAGTGGGAGAAAATGTAAATGTGAAAGGGGAGAATGATGATCAGACCAAGGAACTAAAGAAGAAGGAGTCAAAGAAGAACGATAAATGATGGAAATGCTGTGAATTACCTATACCAAAGCCTTATAAAATGAATGCAGTTTTGTTAAATAGGCAGATGTGGATTTCCCACAGATTAACCTGTATTTAAACAATGTATTCATTCTTACTAAGTGACTTGTTTCATAAGCTTTATGGCATGTATTCTACTTAAAAGGAAAAGAATCAGTATTCTTGCATCTGGCCCTTGGAAATATACAGTTATATTCTCAGTAAGTTTATTTTTTTCTAAATGTGGCTAAAATATTTTTGCAGTTAAGACTAATCATATGTATATTATAAACCTCATTAAACCTATTGTTAAACTATTTTTGTATTTACTATCTTTCAGAAAGTAGGAAAGTATGAGGAAGTAACAAGGTAGGAGATTATATATTTACATAAAACTTAGTTCAATTTGTACTGGCAAAGGATCACTTAAAATATTGTTTCCTCTTTATGTACTAATGGTGAATTTTTTTTTATAGGTGCTTGTCAGAATTTTAAGTGTATAAGCTAAAAAACTGTAATCTTAAACTAAAAGAACTTTCATTTAACATTTAAAAGCCTTCAAAACATGAAGAGACTACTCGTGAATAGTAAAATGAGGTTCTATAAAATTATTTGATAGCTTATCTCTGTTAGAAAACATGATTATCTTTTTTATTTAAAATAAGTACAGATTTTTAAATATTCTGGATTTAGACTGGTATTGATCTGTTAGGAGTCTTAGAAATATTGGGGGATGAGTGGCAGCCTACTAAAATTTGAAATGATTATTACCAGCTTAATTAGACAAAAGAGGACTTTAACAAAACATGTTACCATATTTACTTCTGTAAGTTTTTCCAGAAGACTAAAATTTTGTAAAAACTCCAACACAAAACAGTTGTGTTTACAGATGGTAAATATATTTTTATTTGGGATTCAGTCAGTGGAATTTTATATATTAAGAAACCAACAAAGGATATTATTAGAAAAGTTTCTATTCATAATCAGGATAAAATTGTGAAGAACGTAGCTTTAACTAACCCATTTTGGGTGGGCATAATAGTTTACACTCTGGCAGACCAGGCTGTTTCACAGACTTATAAGCTATAAATATGTAAGTAAATACCTAATGGCATTTAATTTTGTTTACTGATTTTAAAAGATTGGTGTTGGTTTTTATGGCTGTAGTCCATTCTGATATTTCCGAACCTCTAATGGCTACAGTTTATTGAATTCATGTAAAATTGTCCAAAGAATATATTTGTGAATAAAGTGCCCCTGAGTTAATTGGCTTCAAATGTATACATGAGCTTGGATTTCAGGAACACATTGAATTAGTAGTGCCTTTCCCTAAAACCAAGGATATTGTACTAGTGTTAAAATGGAAATAAAATTCACTTGGTAAATGGCTGCCGATCCATCTCTGCTTTGTTTAAGAAATGGAATGACAAATAGTATAGCCTAAAGATTAAAAAGTAACCTTAGACCAGAAGTTAGCAAATCTGGATTTGCCAACTAGGTATGTAGTTACCCATTTCAATTCGTTCTGTTTACCTGGTTGTGGGTTAATTCTTTGGATTAATAGCTAGATAAATTTTGATCAAAATAGCTGCAATGTTTGCATTCTCCAGAGAAACAGAGTCAACGGAAGTTGACTTTTGTACAACAGAGCCCATGGCTCTGTCAAGCTGACAGAGTTATATGCTGTGCAATCAGCATATAACTGTTGGCCCCACAAAATTTAGTAGTCTACTATTGACTAGAAGCCTTACTGAAAACATAAACAGTTGATTCACACATACTTTTTTACATGTTATATATGTTATATATGTTATATACATGTTTAGAGTAAGCTATTGAAAATACTAAAAAAATCATAGCAAATAAATTTACATGATTGTATTTATTCATACCATAAGTTTACATCTCCCATTTATAAGAAAATCCATATGTAAGTGGAACAGCAGAGTTTAACCTATGTTGTTCAGTGGCCAGCTACTTTTTTATTTGTATGTACATACATAAAGAGAGAGAGAGAGCAAGATTATCAGGAATTTAATCATGAAATTACAGAGGCTGATCGTTCCCAAGACCTGTTGTTAGTGAGTTGGAGTTCCAAGTCCAAGTATGATAGCCTGAGGACCAGGAGTGCCAACTGTGTTCTGGTCTGAAAGCTGGCAGGCTTGAGACCCGATAACAGCCTGTTTCACACTAAGTCTGAAGGCCAAGAAAGACACTATACCAATTAAAGCAGTTAGGAGATTCTATTCAGATCTTCATTTGAGTGGAAGAGGACAACTTATCTTAGGGAGAGCAATCTGCCATACTCAGCTTACTGATTGAAATGTTAATCTCATCCAGAAATACCCTCATAAACATCCAAAATAATACCTGGCCAAATGTCTGGAAAGCCCATGGCTCTGTCAAGCTGACAAAATTGACTATTATAGCATCTTAGTTTTCATTGTCGAGACTTTTCCCCTAGCTCTAAGTTCTTTTGAGATTCAGCAGATTCATAAAAAACAGTTCTCAATATTTATTGCTACTGGGGTTTTTCTTCACTTTGCTTCTACAGACTGTTTCTTCCCTATGCTGTACTACATAGTTTTCTGGGACCACCTCAAGCCCTAACCAGCTATAGAAATAATGACAGTAATATTTATATAATGCTTGCTATGTACCAGTAATGTTGCAAGTGCTTTTACATAAATATTAAGTCATTTCAACCTCACAGCATTCTTGTGAGGTGCGTAATTTCACAATCCTCACTATACAGAATAGGGAACAGGTATAGAGACCTTAAGTAACCTTCACAAAATTGAATAGAACAGTATGAAAGAAGATCTCACTAGCCTCCAAAAGGAGGGATTTACACAGCAGAGTAATATTTAGGCTAGATGTCTTTTTTTTTTTTTTTTAACAGAGGTAGATGGGAAGGAAAACTGGTTTTTAGATATTCTGATTCCAGTTGTTTAACACTATTAGTATGTTTAGTGTTAATTTACAATTCATTGGTTTGATATTTTGTATTAAGTTTTCCAAGATATTAACAAATACATAAGCAGTCTTAAGATTTTGGTGCTAGTGTGCGCTTTTGCCTTTTTCTATGTCTTCATAGGTATTACAGAGTACATTAAGAAAAGCCAGGCTTAGAGCTTGTTAGCTATAAATTTCATATTCTACTTTTTAAGTAAGTCTGATAAATAATGCTGTCCTCAAAAGAAACTATTTCTCTTGTCAAACTCAGGACTTGGTGTTTTTAAACAGACTACCTAATGAGTTTTGCTCTTTTGCATTTAGAGTAGCAATAGAAATTCTTAAAAGGGGGACATTTCATTGATTTTTTTTTTCTGAATAGCTTGTCTTCAGAAATTTTCTTTATTCACCACATATTTTAAAGACCCAGTTAATCTTTTTTTAAAGATTAACTTTAAAAAAATCTTTAAGGGCCTCCCCAGTGGTGCAGTGGTTGAGCGCTGGGTTGCGAAGCTGCCCGCGGTCTCTGCTGCACTGGTTTGATCCCCGGCTGCTCCCCGGCCACGGAGGAGGGTCCCACATGGCGCGCAGACCTCTCCTGCCATCCGCTTCTCCCCTCAGCAGTGTACTTCGGTCCTTCTGCCTGCTCTGCTCCTCGCTCTGGCTCTGGTGAATTCTCTCACCCTCCCGCACTTCTGACTGTACCTAGTGCATGTATGAACAAACAAACAAATAAATAAATAAAACATGCCTCTATTAAAAAAAAAATCTTTAAGAACACAGGTCAGAAGACAAGAACCGCAAATGATGTCTTTAATTGTATTCAATGCAGAAGTTGTCAATGTGGTTTGATCACTCTTGGAGGAGATATTCATTCAGTGACTTCATAGAAGAGGAAAGTATTCATTCCACCACCATCCTTCTCCCCACATCTCCATCCCTATTCTGTTCAAAATTGGAAGGCAAATTTGGAAGCCAGTTGAAGAGTAAATTGCTAGAATGCTATAAAAGAAAGAAGATAGAAGATAGAGTTCTGCAATAAGGGTTTGGCCCCAGCATTTACATGTTTAAGAAGCTCCAAAGACAATATCCCTAATTAATAAAAACACTACTATTTAGGGAGTTAACTGAGTTGGGTGCTAATTAATGAGGCTTTGGTAGGCAGTTTTAGAAAGTAAGGTTTTTGAGGTACTGTGTGACAGTGTAGCTGTGGAAGTAGCGTCAAGTGATCAGAGTTGCAAGTTAAAGTGCAAAATTGACCTGTAAGCCTTGGTCAGTGGAAAGGTCACTCACTAAAGCAGACACAGTGAAAGTCTGTGTGAAGCAAGGAGGAGGTAGATCATATTTACACTAAGAATGTGAGCTACACAGGAGTGGGTTTTTACACAAGAATAGTAGAGGTGGTAATCTGGTAGTAGCATTAGAAAAGGAAAGAATTCTTGACCCATCTAACCCAAAGGACCTAGAAGTTCCACAGAGAAACCAGAAAACAACAAAAAAATCAACTCTTGCCTTTTGATATTTTTAAAAATATGGTTTAGGTGTGAATCAGAAAGATTTGGAAGAATATATAATAGATGACTACTGCTCTACCTGTCCCAGGCAATCTCACCCTTTACCCCTCGTTCTATCAGAGCTCTGGGGGAGAAGGGGGCACTGTGCCACCAAGGTAGAGAATAGACATGGTGAGTGTCTTAAGAGGAGATGGGCACTTTGCTTCCCACAACCTGCCTCCGGCTGAACACAAAAGAGTAAAGGCTTTCCTCCATGTCACATCACTTCTTGATACAAGAATTCTTTTGTTAAATTTGTTTTCTCATACTGGGTTCTGTGGAAACAGTGAACATACTGAACATCTACAAACTTCTTTGAACATAATTACCCGTCAATTGCTATTAATTGAGCTGAATCCTCAAAATGCTTCAAATTATCTTTTGCTTACAAATTTGGTGGTGCTTTTGGATATTAAGCACACTCTCAATCTATGTTCTATTTTAACAATTCAATACTAAACTGTTCCCATGTATAAAACCTCCCCCAGTACAGAATCTTCAAATTTATAAACTCTATCTTCCCTCTTAGCAAAATCTAATTGAAGACTTTCCTTAACTCCAGCATCTATCTTGCAAACCATTCTATAGTCTATTTTACATTGTCTCATGTTTTTCTGCTACCAGTTTTCAAAAATTATGTTGTTAAGTTCCAACCAAGTGAAAGAAACAAGCATTGGCCAAATGTTCCTCTTACTTTTTTTTGAGCTTCCTTTTATCATTGCTGTATATAACCAGTTTATAACCACTACTTAGGGTTATTCCTCTCAGCACTGAAGATGTGGCAGTAAACAGAAGAATGGAATTCTTTGCCAGACTGCTTGTGCTGATTAGTCAGAAAATAGGGTCCCATGCTCACACTTCTCAGATTCAGATTCAAGACAAGAAAAATGTACCAGAGGGCCTCCCCTGGTGGTGCAGCGGTTGAGTGCTGGGCTGCGAAGCTGCCCACAGCCTCTGCAGCAGCTGGTTAGATCCCCAGCCCCAGGGCGAGAGTCCCACATGGCGTGACAGACCTCTCCTGCTGCGCCCCGCTGCTCCCCTCGGCAGTGTGTTTCATCAGTCTGCCTGCTCTGCTCCCCACTCTGGCTCTGGTGAATTCTCTCACCCTCTTGTGCTTCTGACTGTACCTAGTGCTTGTATAAATAAATAAATAAATCTTAAAAGAAAAAAAAATGTAGCAGAGTCAGAGATACAGCCCACAGAGGACATGTATTTTTACTCAAAAATGGATGGGAGTCAAGGATGATTCTAAGGCATACATACATCGGGAGTAGAATACAAAATTTGCAAATTACAAATGAAATTCAAAGTGGTAGTGTGCAGCTTTGAGTTATGTCCGTGGATAGTCCCCAGATTTGCCTATACTCACACTGTCTGCCCTGGACCCTCAAACTCTCAGTTTAGGCAGTGCTTCAAGTCTCGTTCGTCTTTGAACTCTCCTACCCCGAGTCTCTGGTGCGCAGTAAATTGACTCAAAGAAAAAGGTATGACCTTTCTGGGATTCAGCATTTTCTGAGCAGGGCTAAGAGTAAAAGTACATGGGTCAGTGTTGAAGCAGCCAAGGCCGTCAGTTCGTGAATCCCTAACACTCAGCCTGCGGCCGGCGCGACCCCTCACCTACCCCTGCCAACCCTGGGCAGGACTCGCTCCTTCAGTTTGGGGAAAGAAGCGCGATCTTCCCACCTCCAAAGGCACTTTTCTGGAGGACGTGTTCGAGGATGGACAGCGGGGGCGGCTTTAGCTGCACAGACCCCAGCTTGTGTGCGCCCGCCCGCGCCCCCCGCGCCCCGCCCGCGCCCCTCCCGCCGGCCCTTTCCCCGCCCGCGGCGCGGCCCCGTGACGCCATCGCCGGGCGCGGGGAGGCCGCGACGGTGAGTCCTCGGGCTGTGACGTGCTTTCTCCTCTGCTCGTGGGGGCTCTGCAGGGCTTGTGTTCTAAGCTGTGTAGGAGATCTTTGATCTGACACTATGGAGAAAGGAAGAGGCGACAGCTTCGATGGTGTGAGCACCGGACGCCTTTAAAAAGTTACTAAAAGAAATCCATAGAAAACCTAAATAAGTGGGGCCTCCCCGGTGGCACAGCGGGTTGAGCGCCGCGCTGTGAAGCTGTCCGCAGCCTCTCGCCCGCTGCTCCCCTCAGCAGTGTACTTCAGTCAGTCTCCCTGTTCTGTGCCCCACTCTGTCTCTGAATTCTCTCACCCCACCCCCATTTCCTGGCCTGTACCCCAGCTCTTGTATGCATAAATAAATCTTTAAAAAAAAGAAAACCTAAATAAAGGACTAAGAAAAAGACTAATTATAATAAAGTCAAAATCAAAATCAACAAGCAACTATAAATCAGACACACGGGGTGGGGGGGAGATAGGGATTAGGGTCAAAATAAGGGGGGGTGGGAATTGTATGGGGACTATAACCTAGATGAAAATGCATACATTTGCAAAAAATGAAAAATGTTGTAAAAAATATATAAAACTAAAAAATAAAATGCAAAAAAAAAAAAAAAAAAGAAAGCAAGAAATCCATAGGAAGTGAGTTGGAGAGCCTTGCACAGGCCCCAGCCCCTCTAGGGTCTCCACCAGCACTGCCTGTGCTGAGGTCAATGTGACCCCAGCAGTGTGATTAATATCCCAGTGGATCTGGCAAAATCTAAAGACTTTCATAGGAAAGAATCATTTATTTCTAGTCAAGCATTTGTTATTACAAATAGGCAGATTTTGAGATAGAATGTTTTACCTTTCAGTATCAAATCAAATGGGAGTGTATGTATTGTGTACATATGTGTTTAGTTTTGATACCCACTAAATTCAGGGTGTCTGTTCCAGATCTAAAGTTTTATTTAGTTACACTTCTCTTTTATCCCTTTAGAAGAACTTAAGACATGGTGATGTTTTGTGAAAGATAATGCCCCTCCTATGTACTTTTAAAAATATTCAATCTGGGTGCGTCCTATTAAATCTTTGGAACCTTGTAAGTTGTTTTTTTTTTTTTTTTTACCCTAACCCCACCTGCAGGTTCAGTTCATTCTGGTCTTCTATGTATCCCTATAGCATCTTTTGCTGTCCTCTGTTGTAGCTTCACACTATTTTAATGGATTGGTTATTTCTTGATCTTGTGGTAGATTATAAGTGCTCTGAAGACAGGTTCTGTATTCCCCGAGACAGTGAAGGATAAGAGCAAATTCCTTAGAGGAATCCTGGACAAATTCAAATCTAAGCTCTTAGCAGTCAATATCACCTTGAACTTGAGCAAGTTCATGAACCTCTTTAAACCAGTTTTCTCAGCTCTCATATCATTTTACAAATCTTTATCATACTTCAGGCATTTGTTACCAGGACTGAGTGAAAGGCATATAAAGGGCTTAATATTGACTTAAAGTCATATAAAGGGCGATTTAGCTGCTGCTATTATTGTTTTATTCACTTATTCACTGTAGCATCTAGCATTTTAGCGCAATGCATTGAACACAATAGACATTCAAAAATATGTATTGAATAAATTATTCTATCATTATAGTTTAATAATTAATGTGCTCTTTACTAATTTCCTAAATAGATAAGCTCTGGAATGCTGTTTTTGTTAATGTGTTTGTATTTTTTTTTTTTTTTTTTGGTGGGACCCTTGCAGACTGCTGGGGAATGAACCAGCGATTCAGAGGCTGCTGGCAGCCTCGCAGCCCAGCACTCAACCGCTGCGCCACCAGGGGAGGCCCAGGTTTTCCTTTTTTGTTTCAGAATGTTAGTTGTTACCTGTTGCCCTAACTATTTCTTTTCATAGTAATTTGTAGCTAATTTGCTGGGCTTTGAGAAACCAGATATACAACTTCTTGAAGTCATATTTAATAGTCATGTTTAATAGTCACATTTAATAGGAAGTCTATATGCACTAAAACCAAAAGCCCCCTAGGCTGCCAATTTGTGTCCTTCTGAAACTGGGTAATCAGAATCCTTTATTTGCCTGACTCCTGGTTCTCAAACATGCTTTCTATAAGTGATATTTCATAATAAATAGTTCTTGAAGTAGTGGTGGAATACTATGTATTACTTTTATCATGTTAATTTTGTTTTTTTAATTAATTTATTTATACAAGAATCAGGGTACAGGCCAGATGCGCGGGAGGGTGAGAGGATTCACCAGAGACAGAGCGGGGAACAGAGCAGGCAGACTGACGAAATACACTGCTGAGGGGAACAGCGAGACAGGAGAGGTCTGCTGCGCCATGTAGGTATCTCCCTGGCCAGCCGGGATCGAACCCGCGCTGCAGAGGCTATGGACAGCTTCACAGCACTGTGCTCAACCTGCTGTGCCACCGCTACAGTCTTTTAAAATTAACATAACTTCAATATAGTGAACTACACAAACATGACTGAATTATTAAATTCCATCAAATCTCAACAAATTCAGCTGTGTTCTTATCATTTAAAAATGTATTATTTAGCATGATGGTGTAGTATGGTTTGCTTTAATTTTGTTAACATTATTGTCTTTCTTTGGCAAAAATTAATCAATCAATCAATATTTCAAAGAGAAGTCTCCCCCAATGAATGCCCCTTTCCAGGGTCAATTAATAAATGTGACCATGAATCAAACATCTAGAATTTTTCGGTATTTGGTTTGATTGTATTTTTCTAGAACTGATCCTAAACAAAATCCTTCTTTGAGATTGCAAAGTAATTTTATTTTTCTGTTAAAAAGTACAATTCTTATTTTGTTTGTTTTCATGTTTATTGCAGGAGCAATGGTTTCATAGAGTTACGGTTATGGTATTTTTGTTTTGTTTTGTTGTTTTAATTTTTTATTATTTAATATAATTCTTACATCATTTTTCATTTTGCACAATGTATGCATTTTCATTTTGGTTATATTCCCCATACAATTCCCACCCCCCTTATTTTGACCGTAATCCCTTGTCTCCTCCCACCTCCCCCAGTAGTGTGTCTCTGGTCTACAGTTGCTTGTTGATTTTGATTTTTTCTTTATTATAATTAGTCTTTTTCCTGGTCCCTTACTTAGGTTTTCTAAATTCCTGCTATGAGTGAGGCCATCTGGTATTTTTCTTTTTCTTTCTGGCTTATTTCACTGAGCATGACACCCCTTCCAGCTCCATCCATGTTGCTGCAAATTGCATGGGACTACATCGAATTAAAGAGCTTCTGTACAACAAAGAGACAATAAAACCAAAACAAAGAGAAACCCCACCGACTGGAAGAAAATTTTTGCACACAACACTAATGATGAAGGACTGATCACAAGAATTTACAAAGAGCTCATGAGACTCAACAAAAACAAAATAAATAATCCAGTCAAAAAATGGGCAGAAGAGCTAAAAAGAAACTTCTCCAAAGAGAAAATGTATTTTAAATAATGATTTATTAATAATAAATGCATCAAAGGTATCCTTAAATAGACTGTTTTTGTGTTCAGAGGCATCAGGTATCATGTATTTTGCTATCAAGTTTATTGTGGCAGTCCAAAGACACCACTACATTTCTTACTTGGGGCATGTTCTAAATGATTCTGAACTTCTCATTGTATCAAGACTATTCCAAATGCTTGCTATTAATCTAGTATCAAATCTCTCCCCCCAAATTTGCTATTTTTTTAAGGATTTATTTATTTATGCATACAAGAACTGGGGTATAAGTCAGAGGTGCAGAGGGTGAGAGGATTCACCAGAGACAGAGTGGAGAGCAGAAAAGGCAGATGTACTGAAATACACTGCTGAAGGGCGCAGCAGGCGAGTCAGGAGAGGTCTGTTTCACCATGTGGGTCACCTCCCTGGCCAGGGATCGAACTCGTGCTGCAGTGGCTGCAGATACCTCATAGGTTGTGTCTTAACTCCTTGCGCCACCAGGGAGGCCCCAAACTTGCTATTTTTTTTAAATAGATTTATTTATTTATACATGAACCAGGTCCAGGCCAGATGTGTGGGAGGGTGAGAGGATTCACCAGAGACAGCAGGGAACAGAACAGGCAGACTGACAAAAAATTACAATGCTGAGGGGAGCAGCAGGAGAGACAGAAGGGGTCTGCTGTGCCATGTGGGTTTCTCTCTGGCCGGCTGGGGTTGAACCCACGCTGCAGAGGCTACAGCTTCACAGTGCGGTGCTCAACCGCTTGTGCCACCAGGGAGGCCCAAACTTGCTATTTTTAACTGTGAATTTTATCCCTAGTTGAAACATAATTTCAACAAAGACATAAAAATAATGCAAACATTACAAATACAGCATTTTTAGTAATACAATATTTTCAGGTTATCACAGAACAAAGTGTGGTAGGAAAAATAAAACTCAGTGTGGTCCTGTTTTAGAAAAGAACAGTTGACCTGACTTGTGAGATCCAATATCATTTTCTGAAAAGAAAATAAAAGGTATTTTAAATTTTATTAATCTCCATTTTTGTGGCTTCTCTTCCATTCACTTGCTAAGAAATCAGAAATGCCAACACAGCTACTTTGGTATAAATATAAATGTAAATCGGTGATGGTTCTGGGTTACATTAACTTATAGCCTTTATAAAGGGCTGATATCAAAGGCCTACAAAGAGCTCACACAACTCAACAAAAAGAAAACAAGTAACCCCATCAAAAAATGGGCTAAAGAGCTAAATAAATACTGCTCCAAAGAAGGCATACAGATGACACATAAAAAAATCCTCATCAACACTTATCAGAGAAATGTAAATCAAAACCACAATAAGATATCACTTCTTACCTACGAGAGTGACCCACCTTAAAAAAAATCAACAAGTGCTGGCAAGGATGTAGAGAAAAAGAGCCCTCTTACACTGTTGGTGGGAATGTAGATTGGTCCAGCACCTATAGGAAACAGTATGAAGGTTTCTGAAAATAGTAAAAGCAGTTCTACTCTATGACCCAGAAGTTCTTCTCCTAGACATCTACCTGAAGAATACAAAAACACTACTGGGCCTCCCCTGGTGGTACAGGCGGTTGAGCACAGCACTGTGAAGCTGCCTGCAGTCTCTGCAGCATGAGTTCGATCCCTGGCCAGGGAGGTGAACCACATGGTGAAACAGACCTGTCCTGCCTCGCCCGCTGCTCCCCTCAGCAGTGTATTTCATCAGTCTGCCTGTTCTTTTCCCTCCTCTGTCTCTAGTGAATCTTCTCACTCTCCCGTGGATCTGGCCAGATCTGGTACCCCCGTTTCTTGTATAAATAAATAAATAAATCTTTTTTTTTTTTTTTTTTTAAAGAAAATACAAAAACACTACTTTGAAGGGAAATGTGCACGCCCAAATAGTGTTGCAGCACTATTTACAATAGCCAAGCTATGGAAAAAATCTGAATCTCCAAAATAGTACATATATACAATGGATATTACTCAGCTATTAAAAAAGATTAATTATGCCATTTGTGACAACATGGATAGAACTAGAAAGGATTTTGCTAAGCAAAATAAGTCCGAAGGAGAAAGACAAATATTTGATGGTGTCACTTATATGTGGAATAGAGAAACAAAGGATCAGACAAACCCAACCTAACAAGAAACCCTAGAAATCTATCTGTAGAACCAAGGCTACCAGAAAGGGAGGGGAAGGATGAGGGGAGACAAACCAGAGAGGAAGGATCACAATGGAGGATTAGAGGTGGACTATGGGTGCTTGAATGGTGGGTGTGGTGTGGTACCAACACTGGAGGTCCTATGAAACCTTTAAAACATAAACAACATTCTAAACCAATGTTACCTAGTTGAAAGAAAACTGCTTTAAAATAAGATACCTGAATAAGTAGCTAGACACAAACAGTATTGCTTGTATAGTGGTTAAGAGGACACAATTTCAAGGTAGAGAAAACTGGGTTGAATCCCCACTTCCTCCTTCCTTTATTCGCTCTGTCATTTTTTTTTTTTTAAAGATTTATTTATTTATTTATACAAGCACTGGGTATAGTCAGAAGCACGGGAAGTGAGAGAATTCACCAGAGCCAGAGCGGGGAGCAGAGCAGGCAGAAGGACCGAGGTACACTGCTGAGGGGAGCAGCGGGCGGCAGGAGAGGTCTGTGTGCCATGTGGGACCCTCCTCCGGGGGCCGGGGAGCAGCCGGGGATCGAACTGGCACCACAGAGGCTGCGGGCAGCTTCCCAACCCAGCACTCTACTGCTGCGCTACCGGGGAGGCCCCATTAGCTCTGTCATTTTAAGAATGTTATTTGACATTTTTGAGCCTTGGGTTTCTCATTGTAAATTAGGCAACTGAGTTTATTAACTGATCAAATTAGCTAATATGTGTAAAGCATTGTGTGCTTACAGCACACCTTAAATGGAAGTTATTAAGTGGATTTCAGAGTATCTATACAAAGGAAAAAAATGGACATGACATTGGAAGGGAGGCTAGTACTGCTTAGGTTGTGAATATTTCACTTTCTATGGAGAGAAACATGTTCCTCATATTCCCTCTCACAGGACTACTTATAAGGATACACAGGGAACTAAGAATGAAAGGGTAGGGGGTAAGGAAGGCCAGGAATCCCAGTAGTGCCAGTGAGGCCTCTCTGTGTATGAATTTGTGACTCTAGTGTCTGCAATCCTCTAACATGAAAATGCTACTAGTTCACAGATTCATCTGTGTTACTATTAAAGTCAGGAACAGCAAAAGAGTAAATTGAGCTGACTAATGTGATTTTAATAAAAAATGGAGAAGTATGAGGTGACCTTATTTTTCCCCTCTCTCTTTTCACTCAGGTAGTGAATGGAAAACCCGTTTCGAGATACAATTTGAACTGAATAGTCAACTGGAAAAGCAAATTTTTTCACTCAAAAAGAAAATGGAAAAACTTCATGGGAATCCTTCAGGTATAGAAGCAGTGACAGATGTCTTATCAGTTGTGTTAAAAACTGATACAATATCAATTGCTCCTATTTGCTTTATTGTAGATATACTCTCTTCTATCCCTGCCTATGAACAAATGCAGGTGGTGAGTAAAAGATGGTTACAGGTTACACAAAAAGAATAATTGAAGGAAATTATGTCATCTTTCCCAATAGATTGTAAACAAAAGTTGAAAGACAGTGGCAAGGCCCAAATTAAGTATTTTGTTCAGTGCAGAGGCTCCTAGGATGTGAGGGATCCTGCAGCAGGTCTTGGGTTTAATTTCCCCCTTAGAAAAGGGCTTCTGTTACTGGTAAAAAATGTAAGAAAGTATCTCAGCAGGGAGACTGGGTAGCAACCTGAATGTATCTATTCCTAGTTAACACAGAAATACATATCTTACACCTATCTAAAAACATTCCCTTCCCAGTTTCTCTGGAATATACATATAGACACATTCACATTCTTATGTACACATACACATTATATATTATACATCCTATATTATATATCACATATTTGTATAGCATATATTCATATATATAAATCCAACAGCTAATAACCCACATTACCCTTTAACATGAAACTTCATTGAACTGATCTACCTCCTTCTTCCTTTGCAGCCCAGCGTTATCTTTCCCCCTTTGAGAGTTAAAGTTGATCCCTGATAAATTACTTAAGCTATGTTTAATATTTTACAAAGCACATTCATTTGTTTTCATCCCCATTCAAATACTCTCAAAAATGAGAAGGCCGAAAACATGACATAGTCTGGGTCCAGAATATGCTTAAAAACAGCCTGTTACTCAGAACTCTTGCTGAGCTTTTTTTCAGCAAGAAACATATTGAAGAATTCACAGAAAAACATGGAAATCTTGTTAAAAAAAAGAAAGAAATCAAGGGGACTTGATATGAAAATTAAGGCATAATATTCAACTGAACTGGCATTCTATATATAGTATTATAAATATAATTATATTATTATATATAGTATTATATTATTATATAATACAAATTTTTTCTTAATTAAATGTATTAACATTTGATTAATACAAATTAACACAAATTAATTTCATGACTATTATCTGAGTCTTGCAACAATCCTGTGAGGTAAAATTTAATAGTATTCTCTTTAAGATATGTGGTGGTAACCTTAAAGAAATTAAGGGATTTGCTCAGAATGAAGTCTGGGAATATGGTAGTAGATTTACTCCCTCTAAAAAGACCTATGACCATTTAATTACACCATCCTGTGCCAATACCTCTTTTATGCCGTTTATTAGATAACATGTTTTTAAATACCTATAATTAGACCACTAATTTGATTGCTGCAGTCCAAACATCCTGAGGACTAAAGCATCTATGGAGATTGCTCTTTGAAATAACTGCAAACTTCTAGTGAAAGAAATAGAAAACGATTTATTATTTTGTCAATAAAAATTGTCAGAGAAATCAGCAATTTTGCACTTCTTTTTGTTATTTTAACCAGATATATCCTTATTTCTATGTCTTAGAAATTCAAGAAATAATATTTTTACCTCCATTAGAAAAACGGCAATTTTTTTTGGTCTGCCATGGGGTTATATTGCCACCTTGTGGTCTTAAAGAGGGTCTACAAGGGCTATTTTGAGCTTAGCGTTTAATGATAGGTAGAGTTGTAATACTACTTATAAAATAGAAAATACCACCTACAGAATATATGATGTTCTTGCTGCCTACTTCTTGATAGTCCTCCCCCAGTCCTCGTTCAATAAACTGGATGTTATTAGCTTCATAGAGAGCAGTGAGTGCAGGTGTGGCATGGTAAAATACTTCATAGCATAACCAAGAATATTTAATTGTTTTTCGAACTGCTGCCGTTGACTATTTAACATATTCATGTTGACAAAAACTACTTATTTTCCTTGATGAGTTCTTGTAACACTGAAAGAAATGGTGGTTCTCTAAGAGGTTGAGGTCAGGAGACAGAGAATTACATTTCTCTTCAATGAAGTACAAAAGTAATATTAGAAGAACTAAGAGCCGGGGCACATTCCAAGATGAAAGAGAAGGTAATCAAAATCAGATTCTTAAGGAACTGATTTCCATTTGCTGGGCAGGAACCAAGCATGAATAATTGGGTATTCTTACACAGTGGAATCCAGGAGGGGTTGTCTGAAAGCAGGGATTAGGAATGTAACCAAGGAGTTTGTACTGGAAGAAGCCAAAGACTGAGTAAAAAAGCTTTGGGATCCTAGAGTCCTCTATCCTGTTAAGAATTATCTCTTGTCTACGGACAAAGATATGCCATCTCATTCTTCATATAATAACAATTATTTGTAAAATTCAGACATGCACTATGTAATGCAAACATTTTTAGTTTTCTATTAGATTGATTAGAGAAAAGGGATTAAATTTATTGTTTTGTGGGCAAGTCTGAATTCGAACATTATTTGTAAATTTACTGATCCTTTAGCCTTACTGGAGATCATTTAGGCATATTTATGACACTGATGTCAGTTGTTTGAATGCTAAGTTTTAATAACTTCAAATTGAAGATTTGCTTGTGGACAATAAAAGGCATGGACACTAGTTTTTGGCCAGTATATGTGTAAGTTTTTAAAATGTTATTCAAAAGAAAAATAAGAAATGTTAAAAATGTTATTTTTTAAAGTGGATCATTAAAACAGGTTTGCTTTTTATTTTAGGAAAAGTATTCACTTAAGGGAGAGAGAAGTTCTGATCCTTGTTCTCATACAGACTAGCTACAAACCCTAAACCTTCTTGAGTATTACTTTTCACATTTGAAAGTAGCATTGTATGCATAAATAAATAAATCTTAAAAAAATAAAATTTATAATAAAAAAATCGCAAAACTTTTACTTCCCTTGAATTAACTGGGCATACATTTTCTAGTCCCTTTTATTTGCATCTACAAGACAATATTCCTAATATTCCTCCCAGGAATTCCTATCCATGTCCTACAAAGATCTCTATGCATTCACTGAAATCTAGAATCTGTTTTCAGTATTCCAAATAAGTAAAAGTGAAGGCCAATTAGGTGGTGTCATCTCTAATGAGCCATGACTATTTTCCAGGTTCTCATTTCTTTTTCACTGGACTTCAGTCTTCTTCATCAGACACCAATTAGGAAATGAAACTAAGGATTCAGTCTTTATGGTGCCTTATGTGCAGCCCACGAATGATTCCTCAGTAGCATTTTGAGTAATCTTTCAGTGTTTTGCTCTCTCTAGTAGCACATGGCAGTGCATGCCTTTTTCTCTTGGATTAGCTTATTTAGGCCAACTCATAGTGCCTGTGATGCTGTGCCACAAACAGGGAAGAAAATTTGATTGGCCGATCTATTTTTCTACTTGTCTATCCTATCCAGCACTGCCATGGCCTTAGTTGATGATTAGTATATAGAGTGCGGTTCTTTTATTTTGACTCTTTAAGAATCACTTGAATAACTTATTAAAAATATATATTCTGGGGCCTCCAGTGGTGGCGCAGCGGTTGAGCGCTGGGTTGCGAGGCTGCCCGCAGCCTCTGCAGTACCAGTCCGATCCCCGGCCACCGGCGAGGGTGCCACCAAAAAAAAAAAAATATATATATATAATATATATATATTTATATATATATATTATATATATATATATATTCTGGGCCTCCCTGGTGGCACAGGCCATTGAGCACAGTGCTGTGAAGCTGTCTGCAGCCTCTGCAGTGAGGGTTTGATCCCAGCTGACTGGTGAGAAGCCCATATGGTGCAGCAGACCTCTCCTGTCCCGCCCACTGCTCCCCTCAGCAGTGTATTTTGCCAGTCTGCCTGTTCTGTTCCCTGCTCTGTCTCTAATGAATCCTCTCACCCTCCCATGCATCTGGCCTGTACCCTAGTTCTTATGTAAATAAAATCTTAAAAATAAATAAATAAATAAAAATATATATTCTGAGACTTAGACTCAGAGACTCTCATATGGAAGGTCTGAGGTAAGGACGCAGAAGACATTTGTATTTTTTAGCAGACATTTCAATAGGTGTTATTGCAGAGCACAATTAGAAAGAAAGAGATTGGGGACCTATATCCCTCAGCGAAGGGTGTGCAGGACAGCCTAGCATCACTTACAACAAGAGTTACTATAAAGTCTTTGTCAACAAGTTCTGTTGTGTCCCTCAGTCCCTCACTATTGCAAAGTGGAAATCCTGGAAATCTTTGATTGTTTCAAGATCATCAAATTGGTGTCCCTTATTTCAGTCTTTCTGGACTACTATAACAAAATACCTCAGACTGGGTGACTTATAAACAACAGAAATTTATTTCTAGGAGGTTGGGAAGTCCAGGGACATAGTGCCAGCAGATTCAGTATTTGGTAAAAGCAACCTTTCTGGTTCAGAAATGGCATCACCTTCTGTGTCCTCACCTGGTGAAAGGGGTTAGGGAACTCTGGTCTTTCTCATAAAAGCATCAGTCCCATTCATAAAGGCACCTTCCTCATGACCTAAGCATCTCCCAAAGGCCCCACTTCCTAATATCACAATATGAATTTGTGGGAAACACAGACATACAGACTTTGTCACCCTTGTCTCTCTCTGCTTCCTATTTTCCCATCAGTGCATCCCTCCTTATCTGTACCCTGACAGTTTGGAACCTTCAAGGCAGCCTCTGTCAGCTCAGAAGATCCTGTTCTTGAAGCCAACAGGACTAATTGACATGGGTGGTGGTGCAGAGACAGAGATACATTTTTCAGGGAGATATTTAGTCTCACCTCAAACATCCTTTAGAGGACTGTCAATCAATTTGTAGAAAATCAATTCAAAGAAACCCAATTTGCTGAAATCCAAATCCTTGTATATATTCTTCTGACAGTAATCTTAGTAGCATTTTGAGAAATTTTCAATTTGCTAACAACTAGGATTTATGGAAATAGCTTAGCATTTAGTATAATCATTGAAAAATATATTCAGAAAAAGAATATGTTCAGGTTATAAGTTCACATATATAAAGAGTTCTCCTAAAAGCAAGTTTTGGGTTAATTGGATAATTTGGAATCCTAGGTAAATATGGCCTCACTGCAAATTAATTCTTTGATAAATTGACTTTTTGAAGTATTCATTTTGAGATCATTG